TCTACTATAGGAAAAAGCCCATTTTTGGTACCTGTACCGAAAAAATCCCTTTTTTAGTCCTTACTGTTCATAAATCTGGCTCCTTTTTGGTCCTTCCGTTAATTTTTGCTCACGTGGCATGTTAGCTTAACTGAAACAGCTGATGTGGATATGCCAACATGTAAAAGATGCTTATGTGGACTTAATGATACCCTTCACGTCACCATCCACGTGAAAAAAAAGGTTAAATGCTAAATTTGATCCCTCAACTTTATAAGTTTACATTTTTTGATCTTTAAATTATTTTTTTCACTTTTTTTATTTAACTGTAAAAATTACACAATCTCCTTGCTGTTCTCGCTTGCTGATCCTGGTCGCACGAACCCAGCCTTGTTGGTCTTGGTTGCGCGAATCCGGCCCTGCTGTCTGAAAAAATTAACAGATTCAAAAAACCATGTCGTGTTCCGTCGCGGTATCAAGGTCCCCGATCTTCTCTCCTTCCTCGTCTTTCTTCTGTAACAAAACCTCAATACTTTCTCCGTCAACGGAGGCTCTTAATTTGACTTTAACCCACCTCAAATCCACATCTTCTCCTTCTTCTCCGTCTCCGTCATCTTCGCCTTCATCACCGTTTCGTATAAGGATTCAAAAAACGTCATTTGGGTCACTTCTCTCATCCTCATCTCCGTCTTCTTTGGGTTCCGGTGCGGGTTTTGGTCCCGAGTCGGTTTTGAAGAGGAAGAGGCCGACTAGACTAGATATACCGGTGGCGACTGCGATGGCCTTTACGGCTCCGTTGATGGAGAGCCAGGGGTGTAGAGAGATGGAGAGTGAAGGTGATGGGTATTCTGTTTATTGTAAAAGAGGGAGGAGAGAAGCTGGGTTTCGACGCACCCAGCAATGCTAGTCGCGCGAACCCAGCTAGCGACGCTGGGTTCTTGTTTTTTCAATTTTCTTTCTATTTTCATTTTCAGTTCTTGATAAATTTGAGAGTTGATTTACAATTTGATTGCATTTTTCTTAGAATTGGATTAGAGTTTGATTGCATTTTTGTTGGAATTGGATTAGAGTTTGAATGATATTGTTTATTGAAGGGTTAATTTGATTTGATGAGATCTACTTGCTTGATGAACTCAGTGGCTTTAATGAAACCAATAACTGAGTTTGGATGAACGCAACAAGGTTGGGTTCGAGCAACCAGCAAGGCTGGGTTTCGACGAACCCAGCCGATCTGGGTAGGAAAGAAAGAAAGAGAAAGAAAGAAAGGGACGAAGAGGGGTTGAGAGTTGAGGGTAATAATGTAATTTTATGTTTA